CCAAAACAAGCACAAAGCCGAAGAGCACCGAGGTCCAAAACTTCCAAAATGTTGCGCCTAACACGGCCAGGGTTTCTGCCTGGGACAAGAACATCCTTATTATTTAGAATAATTTATAATTTTGCAAACAGTAAATTTTATAAAATGACTATATGATAGATATACATGATAAAACCGAAGTGGGGACTAACTACAGAATAAAAACGGATACATTACATAAAACAACTTGATCCAACATATAAAAATACACAGCCGAGTAAGCCAAAGCATCAACGCACAAAGTGACGTCACATTTGAAATTCTAAAAAAACACACAAAGTGACGTCACATTTGAATTTGTAAAAATATTTCCCAAAAATAAGATAGGATTAGGATTGATTCAAGATTAGATTTGTAATACTGACATTACATTTATTAATAACAATGAAAATTACAATACTTATTAATATCAAATTGTGGTAGTAATTAGATAATTAATTGTATTATCTAGCCATGTCGGTGTTTCTTCTGAATCAAACTGTAAACCAAATATATCGTATAAATTTCGTTGAACCAAACTAAAATCTAATAAATAAAGCGGGTGATTAATTATCTTTACCATAACACACGAATAGACGTTAAGACATTTGACAAAATCCGACGAGAATAACAAATATAACATCAAAATTAAATACATAAATTTGGGATAGAAAGGTACCGTGACACGTCTTATAGCAATGCGGGTTCACACTCAGCAAAACAGTCACAATCGGGAATAAGTCACGTTCGGTAATTAAAAGATCAAACGACGTAATGACAAACCACAAAGCCGCAATACTAAGGCCTACTTAATTTCTCTTAGTGCGATTTTATCGTTCATTGTGTTACGAGTTATCAGTAGCATTTTTTTAATGGAAAAAATTAATACCTCTAAGAAATTCAATATCAAATAATGGGAAAATAATAGTATCGTTTTCATAACAGTGTGGACGAGTCCATATTTTGGCGCGTTCACGTCTCCCATTGACTGGGTTAAATTAGGTGAACGTTCGTCTGTAACGCCCACTTATCATGTAGTATTTATTATAGACATTTAAACTGTGGGGTCTCCAAAGGTTCTGACGCCTAAATCAAATAGTTCGAAAAACTAGAACAGGAATAACCTTTGTGTCTTGATTAATATTGAATACTTCAACGTTCTTTACTTGCGTTTTTGTTACGTTTTGATAAACAGGTTTTTGATATAGCACGTTCTTTAAACATGAAAATTAATTTAACTAGTTTAAAAGTTACAATGTATGTGTTTGCCATTATCTATTTCAGACGTCAAAGCGATTAACCCATTGCAGTTGTCTAATGTTTTCACTTAGTTTTTTTTTACTTTTATCTTGTGTAAAATTTTATTTTAGAACGAATGCATGATCAACTTTCAAATGTACTTTCGTATGGTCTTTTCCGTACTTGCAAGATATTGGACAGTAAAAAACTATTTGGACCAAGCCTTATGAAATTTGCCTTTACTTTACGAAATACCAGTAGGTAAAATGTAGAGTTTGGTGCATTTTAGAAACTGGAACTTTTCTGCCAACTACTATACTGCTGAGAAACCTTTAGTAGCAGAACGATTATGCACTGATTATTTTTCCTTTTCTGAGTGTGTGTGTGTGTGTGTGTGTGTTGTGTTGTGTTGTGTTGTGTTTTTTTTTTTTTTTTTTTTTTTTATTATTTTGTGAGGGGGGAGGTTTTCTCATGCACATACATGAACATTACTTTTTTAATCTTAGTGTCGTATTTTTGTTTCGTTCCTTATTTTGAATGTAAATCAATTAGTTTTTTTTCCCTCTTTTTTCTGAAACAAAGCATTTTTTTCTTTTCCAATTTATTGTAGAATCAATTCATTTCTTTTTTAAAACGGTCCAACTTACACAAACATAATAATTGACGGCAGTTTGTATATCAACTTTGTCCTTTTTAAGATGACAATAAAAATGTGCATAAAATATATGCATCCTGCAGGAAATTAATTTTTAAAATGTGGTCAAAATTTGCTCGAAGCGGAAAAAAGCAACAGCTTAATATGGATCGAAATTGAAATAATTGTTATTATTTTACGCAATAAACATTCAAAAAAAATTTCTTCTTTTTTTTTCTTTTTTTTTTTTTGATTTACAACATTTTTTTTTAAATATAAAAATAAGAAGATGTGGTATAATTGCCAATGAGACAACTCTGCACAAGTGACCAAATGACACAGTAATTAACAATCATAGGTCACCGTACGGCCTTCAAAAATGAGCAAAGCCCATACCGCATAGTCAGCTATAAAAGGCCCCGAAATGACAAATGTAAAACAATTCAAACGAGAAAACTAACGGCATAATCTATGTGTAAAATAATGAACGAAAAACAAATATGTTACACAACAACAAACGACAACCACTGAACATGCAGGAAATGATACATAAAGACCACATTGTGACTATCGACGAGTACTGCAATTTAGTTTATGACTAACTATCTTAGGTCAAAGAGACAAAAAGGATCACACACACGCGTAACAGTTTCCTTTTGAAATAAAAGCATTATACTAACAGAAAAGTCTTTTAATTAATTATATATACATAATATAGATATATACATAAATAGAGGCAATTGAGTTGTGTAGTACTGGAATATCCAAGGCAAACTAATCATATGAGTTCTATGTATGACTGAATGATTCGAACGATGATCCATGTGAAAAATATCCAGTTAAAAAAATGATTTTTTTTTTTCATCGTCCGGAACTCTTTTCACAAACAAATCCTATGCATTGAACAAATGGTAGGTTACTCTTAAATGATCACAATTTGGGAGTATTTTTTCTCTTAAGATATCCATCGATTTAAAGTTTTTACAATGAAAACTCAAATGTGTAAATGTATTTAGGATAATGATATTAGCTCTTGACATTTATTATTCTCTAAAATGAAACTGTTGTGTGTGTTGATACAAAGAATATTTCAAAAAAATTTCTATCAAGTTCTGTGAAAAGAGTTTCATTTTATGTATCGAAATGTGTAACAAGTGATTATGTAAATCCCCACTGGGAGGCCTCTGACAGACTGTTTGTCATCGGCTATCGATCAATGATTTTACGCTAACTCAAGTTAAAGGTAAATGATTCAGTAGTATTAACAAGAAAAGTACTACGGTTGTCCACACTGTTACGGGAATACCTCTAATTAGGTTTGAATAGTCCTTTTGATATTTTAAACTAAAAAAAAATGTTTTCATTTGCACCATTTTACTATTCCTTTTTGAACTTTTGATTGATATAATTATTATAACAACATATTTTTGCTGTGCATCAAGGGGTCGAATTGTATTACGATATTCATGGAACCTATATTTTTAGCAGTTCTGTTGTTCACGCGTGAGTGCGTGTTTGACGGCGTCATTGATAGTCTTAAGACACAATTTTCTGTTTTCAAAACAAATTATTTGCACATTCTTTAACATTTTCCCACATTAACATTCGGGAAATATAAAACTTGTAATTATTTGAGAAATTATAATTCTATCGACCTGTAGTAAAGTATCTCAAGGGTTTCAAAACACTATTTTTAGTTGTTTTGTTTCAAAGAATATAAATTTCATTTATCAATTATGTTAAGATTAACGAAAACAAGTGTATTTCTCAGTATCAGGAAATAAAAGCAGTTTATTATGTCAATCAATGATGTCTATTGAATCCTGTATCGGAAAGTCCGTAGAGCCATGTCATTGCAATACCCTACACCAAAGAGACAAATAATACAATATGTGTATTTATGTTTCTGCTTAAACATAGTACGTCGTCACCATAGCAAACTATGATCTCAAGTCTTAACCATCGGATCGCACCTTTGCACGTTCCCTACTCAATTGTATTCCGGCTGACAATGTTATAACTAATGACATTCACACTGTCACCTACAAAAAAGTATAACAAAATTTGCCGAACTCCAATGCAAATTCAAAAAGGAGAAGTCCATACAAACTGACAAATTAAACGCTATCAATCAACGGACCAAGTAAAACAACTGTCATATTCCTGACTTGGTATAGGCCCGAAAACCCACCCCCATCAGCAAAAAATGAAACGTAAACTTGAAACTAAACTTGAAGATAGTAATCGATACATTCGAGGATTTTGCAAGGCAATTGGGAAGACATGAAAAACACGACGTACATACTCTTTCCGAAATCCTGAGCAATCATAGGTCGGTTTTATGTTCCTTTCTAAATTTAACCAAAGATGTAGAACTGGATCTTTATTCAGTCTACTGGATTTCAGTTAAGATAAGTGTCCTTACAAACATCGTTAAAGTGTTGGGGTTGTCATATGCTCCATAAAACTTTTTTCCAAATCATAAACAACTATTTAATTAAAAAATTATAACGGCGTTTAAGAGTTACTGTAAAAGATACTACACAAGGGTAATGGTGGATGATAAATATTCAAACGATCTGTTAGAGTACTTACATATGAAACCCTTACATTGTATTCTATATTCTAAACTTAGAGATGGGTAAACAAAATAGTCCAACTTGTTTCAAAAAAAGAATGGCCGACACAGATAGATATATGTTTTGTAATGAAGCGACAAATTATACAGAAAAACAATTCTGAAATTGATAACCTCAAGATGTTAAATTTTTATTAACAACATACATGTTATGTTTTGATAATCTGTTTTTAACATGCATTCGGCATTCCTATGAGAATTAGAAATGCCTACCATTCTGAATAATAGGACTAAAGGATCAAAATATTCTTTTTAGATATATGTCTGAAATAGATAATCCCGTTAGATTTTAAAACTTCTGCAGTCGATCAACTGTTGCATTATTTATTAGATTTTCATAACGTATCTGTCATAAATTTGTATTTATATGATATCAATTTCCAAAATGTCAAAAATTATACAAAACTGTTAGCAGCCATATTAACATTTTCCGTAAATGTCACATTCAGATTCTGATATTTACAAAATATAATTGTTTGTCATTCGTCAAGCGTGTCTCATCAATAGGGTAATAAAATTGTATTTCCAAAACATAGGATTACCAGTACTTTCTCCGGTTTCACATCATGACGACAAAATGTGTTTTATCCATCACAACATTTCTTTTTGCTATTGCGTTTTGTGAAGGATATCCCTATTACGTAAGTAATATTGATAACAACATATATTGTCTTTTTAATTGCGAGAATAACAAACAGTACATGGTATTAGGTGCAATGTATTTCCATGAAGTATCTTCTGTTGTATAAGTGTATAAATTCCCCAACCATTTCTTTTTTTTTTTTTTCATACAAAGAAATTGTAAAATGCTTCGCAATTTTCACTGAATGAGTTTTTTGTTTTCAAACCGGCTTTTGGAAAGATATGATTTACAAAATTTTGCAAGAACTTTATAAAATAAAAATCGCAAGTTTTGCAAATATTTTTTTATTGTCACTGCAATTGGAGATAGAACAACTATCTTCAAAGAAAAAATATAATATGACAACCTTTTCTAATATAATCACAATTTAACAAATAGGCTTGACAGTAGAGTAATTTTAAATTTGCAATGGACATTTCAAAATAAGAAAATTATTCGGTTTGAAATGTTTTTTATGTTCAATTTCGGGAATGAAATGAACAGTATTCAACTGTAAATAAAGGCAACAGTAGTATACCGCTGTTCGAAATTCATAAATCGATTAAAAAGAAAAACAAATCCGGGTTACAAACTAAAACTGAGGGAAACACATCAAATATAAGAGGAGAACTCCTAAAAGTTTTCGAAGACCATGGAGATTTTTAAAATCCCAATTTCTGTAATAAAATAAAACAAAATCCATTTCATAACGTTTTCTAGTTTTAGAATTCGAAATAACAGAAAACAGTGATTGTATAAATTACCTTTATGATATGTATGAACACCTTTACAGATGTTTAAAATATGCTTGTAAACTGGTGTGTCATTTTAACTAACAGTCAACATATGTAGTATTCAGGAACGTACGGAAAAGACATTCTTTTGTTTTTCACAATGTTTTCTGCCTTTGGTATCTTTCGTCGTTTTAACAGCTATGGAACTTGATTGGTTCTTACGAATGAGTAACCTTATAAAACATTATCCAACAAAACTTTTCAAATGATACATTTGTATTTTCACTCTTAAATCATTTTTGTGTTTTCAGCGAAAACATACTCGTTTACCGACTCAATTAAAATTGCATAAACGGTCTTTTGCTAAAGCAAAAGATTTCAATGATCTTTTTTGTGCTATTATATTGTTAATGCCATTGTTATTTCTTTCAGAAATACTCTTGATTATCCTTTGGCTTGGAAAAACGTGTTTTTGTTTCGAAATTTTACAGACGTTTTTTTTTATCAGTGTTTTTGTCAATTTACTTGAAAACTGGTATAAACAGACAAAAATGTAATAAGGATTGTTTCCAATAAGCATATATGTCTGTTGTTATGGGACCATAATACATAGTTAGAAACTGTAATCAGCAACAATGATCAACAATATAATTTAACTCATGTATAAAGACATATTAACATATAGATATTTGAAAATAAACTCCATTTTAAAAATTCCAAACATAAAAAGAAATAGAACGACAAAACGTTACTAAACCCTATTAAAAAGAACAGTCAATATCATTGCAAGAAGAAAAAGGATGAAAAAAGAAAACATTACAAAAAGCTCACGATTTGACAACACCCAAATCTGGATTGAAGTAGGATGCTTTTAAATAATAAATAGTGCATGCTCTAGTAATGTCCTCTACCTGTCAAAAAAAACAAGCGGTGAAAATGAAAACAACGTTTTATAAATATCATTCGCCCGAAGCGCTTTTCGGGATTTACCTTCATCAGGAACGCCCATAGCCGAATAGTTGAAAGCCAAATATGTATAAAAACCGAAACAGTTGAAGAGCTATAGGACAAAAAAGGACATGAAATAATAGCCATCGCAGGTCAACTTTGATTGGGGGAGTTGAAACCTTAGTTTCTAAATAATTTCAAAATTTGTAAACGGAAAATTTCAGAAAGATTTGTTATATAAATCATGAAAAGTGGCATTCGATAACAATTATTGATATCAACGGTAAATATGAAAAAAGTAGCTAATTGGCTATAATGAAGAACTTTCAAATACAAGTTTTTATATATTTATATAAGAGTTTGAACATTCTTTTTAAAATCAAAAAATGCTTAAAACAGTCTATCACCAGCATTTACCGTTATAAATATACAGTCGCTGCAAATTACATAAGTAAGAACATATGCAACGCTTGTAAATAAAAGGTCTTGTTATTTTGTCAAATTCAGCTTTAAAATTCAGCTAAGAATGAGAAGCAAATTGTGTTTTATCTAATTGATAAAATTGAGAATGGAAATGGGGAATGTGTCAAAGAGACAACAACCCGACCAAAGAGTAGAAAACAGCCGAAAGCCACCAATGGGTCCTCAACACAGCCAAAAAATCCCGCACCCGGAAGCAGGCTTCAGCTGGCCCCTTAACAAACATGTGTACTAGTTCAGTGAGAATGGATGTCACACTTAACTCCAAAACAAATAAATGAACTAAAATTAAAAAAAATACTAGACTAACAAAGGCCAGAGGCTCCTGACTTGGGACAGGCGCAAAAATGCGGCGGGGTTAAACATGTTTTGTGAGATTTCAACCCTCCCCCTATACCTCTAGCCAATGTAGAAAAAACAAACACATATACGTATAATATATATTGCATCAAAAATCGTTTTTGGAGCAGAAAACCTTTGAAAGTTCATTTTCCTATTCCAAGACAGCAGGTTCGGTTGTACATACCTATGCTTATCATATCACTTTGAAAACAATTCAAAAAAGGTATTGACTAATGTTTTATGGATCTTTTATCGAAACATCTGCCATCATTGTGCATATGATTGTCACAAATACATTTCCACATGTTAATTCTTTCAATGCAATGCTGTTATTCTTGACTGATGCATTATTAAAAGCGTGCTGAGATTTAAAATGCATAATGTCAACGCATGATACCCATTCCAGTGCGCAAATCGCGTATGTATGAAAGAACCGTCTGAATGGTTTTATAAGGAACCATACATTTGTGGAAGAAAAAATATGAAACGTTTGGCAACATCGAAATCCAAATTAGATAAAAAAAAATATAGTTAAAACCTTAAAACAACTTTTGCATGTTTTTCTTCGGCCAACAAACGGAGATAACACCTTTTTATTTCCCTGAAAGCAGCTCTTAATAATTTTCCTGTACCTTTTCCGACATATGTTAAAAATCACACTATTTTATGTTTGATTAATGGTTCCGTCGTTTCAATATGTTTTCGTATTTTGTTTAACTGCGATTGTGTGTTTACTTGGTGTGCTTTCGTTTTCAAAGTATTTTTAACCCCCAAAGGTGACTTGGAAATAGAAATATAGTCACTCTTAATCTTCTTCCGATCGGAAGTATAACCCTTGCCAAAGTTGGGCGTCAGTTTGGTTGTGCGGAATGTACAAGTAAGCAGCCATGTCCGGTGAGAATGGTGACGTTAAATCCGATGCCTCGTGTGTGTTTCTGTACAGAGAGTACCACGCTCATTGCACATTAAGAACCCTTGTAACAACAAGGGTCCGTCGGCGGCCGGTTACAAGGCACAATTTCTGTCACTATCCAATATACCCTCATTTTCTGGTTGTAGTCTAAATTTTACCGACCTTCTTACCCGACGGCCTCTATTACAGGACAAACCTATTGTATTTATTGCTGTTTTACTGGATTATCTACCCGCCTGTTCCTTTTTCATTAAAACTTCTGGCTTATCGTTGTGTAAGAAAACGGAAAATCAGTCGTACATGAATAAACACATTATTCAAAAATGAATGCACAAATTTTACAAATCAAAAGAAATATATATTTCTGGAACATCATGTTAATTGAAACTATTTTATTGTGCCCTGAATAGCATATTTTAAATTACCGTTTCACATGCCACTAAAAAACAAATGACTGATTTGATAGAAGTTTATTTCGTTTTCAATAAATGCTTACATTTTAAAAATAGCAATGCTATTGTAAATATTTATTTTTTTATTATAGCCTTCATATGAATATTTGTCAGAACCTGGAAATCCCGAGACCAAAGTAGTTATGTTGGATCCTCTCATTGAAGCCCGTCAAATGATGCAAGCAGAGCCTACAGATGGACAGGTAAATAATGCATCGCTTAGATACGAATTGGCGTCTTTATATGAAGCATTTACAGCTGAAACTAGCTAACTCTCTCAAATATTTAAGATTCAATTGAAAGCTCTTTAGAGATTTAATATGTATCCTGAGCTCTTCAGATCAAGATACAAGAAGGGTTTGTACAATAGATATATACATTAACCCTATCATATGTTCATGAGTTTTTCCCGGTCAAAGGGGGATTGGTTGTCGTTTACGATATCTTTTTTATATTTTTTTTTTTTTTTTTTTTTTTTTTTGGAATGGGTTTTTATTTATAATTACTATTGTGATTATTATTATTATTATTATTATTATTATTATTATTATTTGTTTATTTCTGAAAACTTTATACTTTTTAGCGCCAATTCTCAGACACAAGGGAGGATCATGATACATTATTGCAAAGGATATAAAAATATAGAACCAAATGTATATAAACCAAAAGTATTCAAAAACAATTGAAACGATAAAAGGTGAATCGAAAGGATAATGATATTCATACTCTTGACTTATTACGCTTGTATGTAAGAGATACGATACTTGAAATATCATGTGTGTATGACAAATAGTCTGCACACAAATTATTTTCATTTCATAGCCTAATTATTAATCAGTGAAGTACTACAATTCATATGATTATTTCTTTATTCTTTGTTATTTGTTTATCTATTTCTGATCTAATATGTGTTTATCAATTTAAATGTTACTTTCTTTCTCGATGTTATTCAGAATGATCGAGAGTGTATTTTTCAATGAATCTTGTTTTCTTTTGTCATGTTTTCCTTATTCATTCAAAAGTCTAAATTGAAAACAACGTTCAAACCTATGATTGCGTTGAATAAAAGCCGCAATTTTTATACGTGTGCATGCAAAACAAATTTCTTGGTAGAGGGGTCTAAATACAGCACAAACAACATTTTCCAAAAGACCAAAAAAGTGAAAAAGTATATTTAAACAAAACGCATTTGACTAACAAGTCGAACAACCGATGTTCTTAAACCCTGCTGACTGCCATTGGCGATTGCCAAATAAACGGATCACAAGATTTAACAAAATGGATCTTTATATATTATTAATTTAATACCAAATTGAAAACAATAGACTTGCGGAAAAGATTGTATACCGCAAACATGAGGCGCAAAAAATTGTGTACACCATATCCGGATTTCGACAATTAATGTCTCTTCAGTGATGTTAGGAATCGAAACGGTATTTGGAAGGCCATATAATTTACCTCAATTTAAGATAGACTCTTGAATTTTAAAGAGTCGAAATAGGATGAACGGATTATGTAAACCCGAAGGCAAATATAATACAAGCCCAAACGAAAAAATATAAATAAGTCTAAATTGAAAACAACGTTCAAACCTATGATTGCGTTGGATAAAAGCCGCAATTTTTATACGTGTGCACGCAAAACAAATTTCTTGTTAGAGGGGTCTAAATACAGCACAAACAACATTTTCCAAAAGACCAAAAAAGTGAAAAAGTATATTTTAACAAAACGCATTTGACTAACAGGTCGAACAACAGATGTTCTTAAACCCTGCCGACTGCCATTGGCGATTGCCAAATAAACGGATCACAAGATGTTACAAAATAGATCTTTAAAAATTTATAAATTTAATACCAAACAGAAAACAATAAACTTGCGGAAAAGATGGTATACCGCAAACAAAAGGTGCAAAAAATAGTACACCATATCCGGATTTCGACAATTAATGTCTCTTCAGTGATGTTAGGAATCGAAACGGTATTTGGAAGGCCATATAATTTACCTCATTTTAGGATAGACTCTTGAATTTTGAAAAAAGTCAAAATAGGATGAACGGATCATATAAACCCGAAGGCAAATATAATACAAGCCCAAACGAAAAAATATAAACAAGTCTAAATTGAAAACAACGTTCAAACCTATGATTGCGTGGAATAAAAGCCGCAATTTCTATACGTGTGCATGCAAAACAAATTTCTTGTTAGAGGGGTCTAAATACAGCACAAACAACATTTTCCAAAAGACCAAAAAAGTGAAAAAGTATATTTTAACAAAACGCATTTGACTAACAGGTCGAACAACAGATGTTCTTAAACCCTGCCGACTGCCATTGGCGATTGCCAAATAAACGGATCACAAGATGTTACAAAATAGATCTTTAAAAATTTATAAATTTAATACCAAACAGAAAACAATAAACTTGCGGAAAAGATGGTATACCGCAAACAAAAGGTGCAAAAAATAGTACACCATATCCGGATTTCGACAATAAATTTCTCTTCAGTGATGTTAGGAATCGAAACGGTATTTGGAAGGCCATATAATTTACCTCATTTTAGGATAGACTCTTGAATTTTGAAAGAGTCAAAATAGGATGAACGGATCATATAAACCCGAAGGCAAATATAATACAAGCCCAAACGAAAAAATATAAACAAGTCTAAATTGAAAACAACGTTCAAACCTATGATTGCGTTGGATAAAAACCGCAATTTCTATACGTGTGCATGCAAAACAAATTTCTTGTTAGAGTGGTCTAAATACAGCACAAACAACATTTTCCAAAAGACCAAAAAAGAGAAAAAGTATATTTTAACAAAACGCATTTGACTAACAGGTCGAACAACTGATGTTCTTAAACTCTGCCGACTGCCATTGGCGATTGCCAAATAAACGGATCACAAGATGTAACAAAATATATATATAAAATGACTGAATAATTGCCAACGATCAATCTTATTGGGCGATGGATCATATAATTATGATACAGTACACTACAAAATAAATATATAACAAGTCTAAAAGGGTACATCACCAAAAAATAACAATAAAATGAACAAATGTTAAATATTTCGGATAACAGATATCCTTCATCAGTATGAATATGATGTAAAATGAATTTATTCTGATTCTAAAACTATAACACTCTTGAAATTTATACAATAAAACAGTTCAACCCGAACATCATAGAGACGCTTGTACAATTCTAATTTTTTTTGTAAACAGCTATTGACAACAGAGTCAGCAAAGATATGCTTTAAATAAAAATAGTAATGTGCGATATGAACTGGTACAATTCTAAAATTTAAAATGTGACGACAGTGTCGATGTTACAACAACGATTGAGTGGAAATACATTCCCAATAAACAGCACTGACCGATCTAAGCTGGAATAATATACCTGCATCGCGGAAGCAGAGCGTCAGCTCTCTGATGAGAGATTTTATAAGAAGCTTGACTATGACCCTACTTCCGAGTTCCAAAATTATTACTGCAATGTATTATTATTATTTTGCAATGTAACCTGCAAAACCCAGAATGTAGTATACCTTCTTCAGCGTCGATGTGGTAATGCAGTATGTTGGCAAGACAGAACAGCCATTTAACAAACGCATGAATGGTCATCGAAGTGACTACACCTGCAAGCCCGACCTCCCCGTAAGTCGTCATTTGAGATCACCTGGGCACGCCCAAGCTGATCTCAAAAACCTTACCATCATAATCATAGTAATCATAGTCACGGATTTGCTCCACCAACGATACTGCAAAAAGACGACTGCAAGAACTTCGCGGTCACCTAAAACATCGGGGCTACAAAAGAAAGACATTGATAAAGGTTTCTCTCGTGCTAACAACATCAGCCGAGGTGAACTTTTACAGTATAAAGACCAAAAGGTCAACAAGAGGGTGCCTTTTGTGTTGACTAAACCATCCCAAATTTGACAACTTATCACACCTAATCCGCGAAAATTGGAACGAAATCGAAAAACATCCTAAACTATCCAAGATCTTTCCCGAGCCACCTGTACTGGCTTTCCGTAGACCCAAGAGCCTTAAAGACTTGCTGGTGAGAGCTGATTTATCCTCTAAAGCAGGCCCTTCTTCTGTGGGCTCTTGCAAGGGTTGCGGAAACAAACGATGTCTGACTTGCAAACAAACACTGAATACCCAGACTTTTAACAGTCACTCCACCGGTACAGAATACACCATATTTTGCAATGTTAATTGCAAGACAACAAATGCTGTGTATCTTCTACAGTGTAAATGTGGTAAACAGTATGTTGGCGAGTCAGAACAGCCATTTCATAAACGAATGAACGGCCATCGTAGCGACTACCAATGCAAGCCAGATCTCCCCCTCAGTCGACATTTGAGATCCCCTGGCCACACTAAGGCAGATCTCAATCGACTGACCATTACAATCATTGACCACAACACTGCTTGGTCTAGGGAGGATAGACTCACTCGGGAAAGATTTTGGATAAGAAAATTAAAAACTTTGGCACCAAATGGGATAAATGAAAAGATGTAGTTCGAATTCGCGCAGTGCTTTACATTTGGGTTATATTACTTATTACTACAGTCTCTGCTTCTATTTCTTTACCTTACTCAACTCTAACAATTTTTGTAATTATATCAGTTTAAATTTCTTGGTTCTATTCATTTTGGAGGGATGTAAAAGTACCAAGTCACGTTCAACTATTTAACCTTATTCGAAATCTATTATTATATTTTTTAACTGCTATTTATTTGGGATGTTTAAATACGCAGCCTGTGTGTGTTGTAATTACTCTACCGTTGTCAAATTTGAAATATTTACAAACTTAGATCGGTCAGTGCTGTTTATTTGGAATGTTTATTCACGCAATCGTTCTTGTAACATCGTAACTATCGTCACCTTTTAAATTTTAGAATTGTGCCAGTTCATATCGCACATTACTATTTTTATTTGAAGCATATCTTTGCAGTCTCTGTTGTAAATAGCTATATAACCTATGTCATGTTTAAATGTTTTAGAATTGTACAAGCGTCTAAACTATGATGTTCGGTTAACTGTTTTATTGTATAAATTTCAAGATTGTTATAGTTTAATCAAAGTAGATTGATATGATTCATTTGACATCCATGATGATAATCATACTGATGAAGGATATCTGTTATCCGAAATATTTATGAATAATTACATTTATAGTTTTCTTTTTTTGTTATTGGTGTTGTTTTGTACACTTTTCAGGCGTTTATATATATATATATATATATATATATATTCAATTGTATAATTAATTTTTCGCTCTGTGTAAATTGACAGTTAACATGTTTTTAGTGTTTTTGAAGAATGGTTTTACAGTAATCAGTTATAATTCTAATTTCAGGGGTTTTCTCGAGTCAATCGCGGACCTTTTGGGGTAAACTCAAATGGATGAGGATTATTCAGTAGAGAATTAACTAGTTAATATACGTGTGAATAATTTTTCAAATCAGATAAATGTTAAAATGATTAAAACAATTAAAAAGAATTTGTCAATGCAAAATATATATATATATATGAAGTACTGTTTTATGTGGTTGTTTCTTCGTGTGCTTATGTTTGTTTGTTTGTGGTTTTGTTAATCACGTTGGATTGGGTATTCTCGTGTGTTTCTTTTTCCTAACTTGTATTTGCTTTCTAACTTTTTTTTTGACAAGATTTTATATCGTAAATCTCTAATTGCAGATAATATTATGAATCTTCTTTGATTGAAACCCTTCATTAAGCGAAAATTAATAATGTTGTAACAATGGATGAATGTATTCATAAATCATAATGAAAGCAGATTTTTTAATGTTTTAATAACTGTTAATAATACAGAGTTGATATTACAAGCTAAAAGAGAGGCGCAAGATACCAAAGGGATAGTCAAATTCATTAGTCGGAAACGAACTGTCAATGCCATGACAAAAAAATGACAAACGACCAAAAGACAAACAGCAGTCTACAAAACACAACATATCTAAAGACTGAGCAAAACCCAAAACCGGGGGTGATCTCAGGTGTTCCAGAAGGGTGAGCAGATCCTGCTCTACATAGGGCAAATGTCGTATTGCTCATGGAAGTACCAACCAGGTAGTTAGTCTTATTCGGTAGGTCACATCATGAAAAAGAGGACGGAGTTGTTGTGGTGACAATTGGAACATATCCGTCGTCATTTGTGAAAATAATATTACATAACGGTCAACCAAGTCGTGATGGCGATGACTTCAACTTCAGTAAATGTATCTATCCTAATGTCATCAGCCAATGTTGTGCATTTTAGATATACCTATATTGAAAAAAATTGAAAACAACACGTTTAATAATTTCATGCGTCCGAAGCGCTTTTCTGGATTTACCTTCATCAGGAACGCTCAAAGCAAAACATTTGAAATCCGAGGGATGTATAAGTACCGAAACAGTTGAAGAGCTATATGACAAAAATACCTAAAACAAATAGCCAAATTCATCTAAGGTCAACTTTGCCTGAGGGAGTTGAAACCTTAGTTTCTTTATAATTTCAAAATTTATAAACAGACAATTTTAGAAAGGTTTGTTATAAATCATGTCAATACCGAAGTACTGACTACTGAGCTGATGATACCCTCGGGGACTGATAGTCCACCAGCAGAGGTGTCGACTCAGTGATGTAAAAAATTGAAAACAACACGTTTAATAATTTCATGCGTCCGAAGCGCTTTTCTGGATTTACCTTCACCAGGAACGCTCAAAGCCAAACATTTGAAATCCGAGGGATGTATAAGTACCGAAACAGTTGAAGAGCTATATAACAAAAATACCTAAAACAAATAGCCAAATTCATCTAAGGTCAACTTTGCCTGAGGGAGTTGAAACCTTAGTTTCTTTATAATTTCAAAATTTATAAACAGACAATTTTAGAAAGGTTTGTTATAAATCATGTCAATACCAAAGTACTGACTACTGAGCTGATGATACCCTCGGGGACTGATAGTCCACCAGCAGAGGTATTGACTCAGTGATGTAAAAAATTGAAAACAACACGTTTAATAATTTCATGCGTCCGAAGCGCTTTTCTGGATTTACCTTCATCAGGTGCAAAATAGTAACGTTTAAAATCACATCAAAGAAACGAATAGAACTTTGCCATCACAAAACTGACTTTTTTATATAGAAATGTCCCTGTAGCCACATTCCATATCGTACTAATCTGACATCATGTACATGTTTATAATGACTGTAAGTTGCAGAAGGAGGCGTTTTTCATTTCTTGTTCAAGTTAGTGGTAATTCTGTGTGTGACCGGACTGTGTATTTCTGTGTGTGACCAGACTGTGTAGGGTAATTCTGTGTGTGATCAGACTGTGCGAGGTTTTCATTTTTGTGTTTTAATTTTAGGATATATGGTCTAGATATGTTTAATAAGTCTATTTTTTCGAAGCTTCAAAAAATAATTATGATTTCGATTTCATTTTTCTCTCGATTTCATTACGGGGTCTACGGTTAACAAGCACAAAATGTTGAAATGATACAGATTATATTCACAACAATGTATTTGAGAATTTTCCTTTTTTATTCTTTTTTATTTTAGGGGGAGGATGTTTTTGTTTAGAGTTTGGGGTCTTTGTGTTTTTGTTTTTTGTTGTTTTTTTTTTTGTTTTTTTTTTGGGGGGGGGGGGGGTTGCTGTTTAACTAAAGACATCATATCTGCAAATACAAGAAAATAAGAAAAAAGGGATAAAAGGAAAAATGATATAACAGTCCAGATGGTTCATTCGATATTCAGTACCAAAACTAACCAATAAGATGACATCGAGTTTCGAATATAGAATTTTTAACTTCAGACTTCATATATTTTATCGCAATAATCTTATTTTTAATGTCGAATTACATGTACCTTTCGTGGTTTTCTAAGCTATACGGGTATATCAAGAAATCTAAAATGTAAGAAACACAAACCTCACTAAAACTCGGGGTTGATTACAGGTGCTCCGTTTTGCGTATTATCAGTCGATCAACAGCTGGTGATAAGTTACATTCAGTGATAAAAGAGGAAAGGAGGTTAGGATTGAGGCTCATATAAATGGAGCATAACCCTGAACATCTTCAGACACATGTTTCATAATTGTCAGCCAACCGTAAAACTTTCGACTTCACCTTGACAATCTTTCACGCTTTAAAGTAAGCATTAATTCTCTATCAAGGAAATCATAATAGGAACCATGAGCAATAGCATATAGTACCAACTAGGAGATTTATAGTCCATATGCTGGGACGTTGTAATATAATATAATATAATAACGGAAAATGTACAAAGGGAAATAAACTTAAAATATTTATTCTGTTGTATAGTTTAGTTCATTGTAAATAGGTTTAATAAAAATCAATGAACGAAGAAGACTAAAAGGTATGTGCCGTATTCTTCATTACAAGGTCGATGTAATAGCTGGACTAAACATAGTCATTAAAATTTGGTTTATGTAGTTATATGACACCATTCGAATATTTTCATAACTAAATCGGTGAAAATAAAACATGAATCTTAATAATACAATGAATATACAAGACCTCCCGAAACGAAAACAGATTTTTATCAGCTATACATAGAGGAAAGGATAAGGCGTCTACGCAATGCTAGGCAGTGTTGCCGTAGAAGTGAGAAGTGAAAGTACAGTTTCTAGCCCCGGTTTGGGTGGAAGTAAAGAATCAGATCTACTCTATCATTGTTATGTTGATTTTCTAGGCACTTTTTAATCTTTCTAGCGCCTGGCATTTCTTAATCATAAGAAATCCGATAGACAAGGTATAATTTGCAGTTGTCATTTCACATAGGCAAACATATATATAGATTCCAACATACGAATATACAGATAACATTTATGAATGATGACATTTCCTACCCGTGTCAATCTTTTTTACAAGTTCCTTTGATAAATGTTAATGATACAATACTACGACATAATCACTTGTACTTCACGCATCAACTGTGAAAGGGTCTAGGCTGTCATATTCATGTTCACCGATTTGACCCAAATTTATTACATACAACAACATGTACAACGTGTCTAAAAATACAAAATGTTCTCCCATTTGACTTCTCCTTTGCAAATGGGAATTTTGTACTACTTTGCCCCCAGCAGAGCTATAGAAAAATTGTACATTAAAGATGTATTCCTATGACGTTTCAGTCTCGTTTAAATCTCGTTCTGGAATTATTTCCAAAACATGTGATACATGTGGAAAATATCAATGAATTTAAAAAATATTATAATCAAACTTAACTCTGTGAAAAAATTGTGCATTTACAATAGGTAGTTTTTGAGTAATAAAATTTTCAAATTTTATAACCAATCAAGTCAGTCTCATTAGCCAAAATGTTGAGCAAATTGGTGAGGGGTACAAGAAATGATTTTACTAGAAACATGTACATCCCATATCAATTTTTTCTTTTCAAATTTCTTAGATATGTATTTTTCAATCATTTATAACGAAGAAGTTGAAATAATATGCTTTTTGTTCCAAAAAAAGAGAAAAATCCCAAATTTACAAAATTGAAGGCATGGTAAATTTGACACGAAAAAGTAACGAAATTTTATAAAACTTTCTTATATTAACACCTACCTATAGTTTTCTTAAGTTAAATTTATTCAGATTGGTCCACTTCATCTTTAGTGAAAGTATGAAAAAAAGTTTAATTGTAAAACTGTGATTTTTTTCATAATAGACAAAAATGGGTAAAAATTGGTGAAAAATGGGAAAATCATCAAAATTGGGTACTTTCAAATGTCCCCTAAAAGTTGCCATCCTGCTCATTGTACTAAGAGCATCCCGTACAGTCAGGCACTCAGAGTCAAACGAATATGTTCCAACTCAGAAACAACTAAAAAACGACTACGTCAACTCGAAACCCACTTGAAGAGAAGGAGCTACAAACACAGAACTATCCAAAAAGGCTTTCAGAAAGCGGAAACTATTCCAAGAAGTAAACTGTTAGAATACAAATATAAAAAGAAAAATAAAAGGACTCCATGTGTTCTTACTTACCACCCATCTCTCAAAAACAGCTTCGGTGTCATTCGTGAGCATTGGAAACAGTTGAAAAGAATTCAAAACTATTCAAGATTTTTCCCGAGCCTCCCATGATAGCTTTTAGGCAACCCAACAGTCTGCGTAACCTGCTGGTGCGGGCTGAAGTGTCTGATAATAGACGTACTTCTGGAGAATGTCGTTCGTGTGATGAAAAACGCTGCAAATGCTGCCTACAGATGCATCACTCATCAACTTTTTACAGTAAGGCAACCGAAAATTACTATAAGATATTTTGCAATGTTAACTGCAAAAGTATGAATGTTATTTACATTCTAGAATGTTCGGTTTGTGGCCTCCAATATGTTGGTGAGTCAAAGCTGCCTTTCCACAAACGCCTCAATGGCCATAGAAGTGATATCTCTAAGAAGCCACTTCTCCCAGTTTCTCAGCATTTCAGACAGTCTGGTCACACACTTGATGACTTTAACCGCAGGAAGATCCTAGTGATTGAACAAAACATTCACTGGAGTGATGCCCAGC